TGCTGCGTTGCCGTGCTTCGTAGCTTCTGGGCACCGAGCCAGCCAACCTTCGTTGCGCCTCAACAGAGCGTTCACATGGGCTGCCAGGCCTTGTCGGGTGGTGCTCTGGCCTCCGGCAATGTGCCTGCCATCGTCAACACGGTGCCAGCTCGTCCTGGTGTGCCCGCCCACTTCAAGGTGACCTTGGAGACCCCGGACGGCACGCAATCCTTTGCACCTTGTCAGCACATTGGCACATTTGGGACTTGATGGTGTTCAGGGTGCTGAAAAAGGCCTTGAGCAAGCCGGCGAAAGAGCAGCCAAGGAATGCCCTGAGGACGTATACATCCTGGACCAGGCTGAGGAGGAGGGTTTGGAGCTGCCCTACTCCTGCCGCGCGGGCTCTTGCTCCAGCTGTGCTGGCAAGGTCCTCGAGGGCGAGATTGACCAGAGCGATCAGGCCTTCTTGGACGATGACCAGATGGGTGAGGGCTTCTGCTTGACCTGTGTCTAGGACCAAGATTATTGATGTTCCTGAAAGTTTTTGAACTCTAGTCTATCTATATAGTTGTGCGTGTACTTGAAATAGAATCTATAGAAGGATATAATAGCGAGGGCCATGATGATTTCAAAAGGTTTAAAGGTTTAGAACAGCCCAGGTGTGACGTACGCCACTTCCGACGTCACCATCAAGACCCACTGCGAGGACGAGCTGTAAAGCAGTGAAGATGACTTTCTCCACAAGTTACAGGTACAGACTGCTTATTCTCACAGAGTTTTCGCATCCAGCCTTTGGCCGAGAGCTGGCACAAGCGCCCGATCCAGTTTGAAAAGTTGTCGGCAAGCCTTTGCCCCGACATGCAAAGCACTGCAGAAGTTAGCAGCACCACCCGTATTCGAGTTCAAATGAAATACTGCACAGCAGCGAACTGCGCAGAAATTGCATGGGAATAGGCTAGCTACGACTTACGAGGTGCGTCTTGTGGAAAGCGGAGAAGCCTTGTTAGCCTTGTTGATTCAAAACGTTATGAGACTAGGGCTGTAGTTTGTGGACGGTGCCGTACCACATCGGACGACCCGAGCATAACCTGGAGTCACGAAGGCGCTAGCACTCCCAGAATTCCAGGATCTACCAGGAAACGGTATGCCTTGCCCCGAAGCCGGAAGCGAACGTCCGAGGAACAGCTGGAAAAACGCTGGGGTGCTACCGAGGCCTGCAGGGATTTGTTGGGGCTCACTGGACAGGATTGAGCAGGTACTGCGAGGACTTACTTTCAAAGAAATAGTTTCCCCCTTCGGAGTTTCGATGTGGATGTGCGACACTTCGACACTAGCCACACTGCCTTGACTGAACCTTGCAAGACCTTTGCAGGTGCAGTCAATGATCTTCTCAGGTTTCCCTAGCACCTGTTGAGCATATGAACGCTTTGTCGCGTCCGCCTCAACCTCAAGCCCGAAGCAGCTTCGAACTTGAGGATCTGGATCTATACGGCACCTTTTCTTGGTGTACTGAAGGGGGCCGCATGCTATGGGGCCGTTTTGTGTGCCGCAGGAATCCAGCGACGAGGAGGAGGACAAGCTGAGCCCATGGGCCGGGATTCGGATGTGGCATGTTCTCTATACACGCCACCTTGACCCAGAATATCCTCCTCGCTTCCGAGCATACTATACTCTTTAGTGGCAGCATTCAGCAGTGCCTCAGCCGCTATCACGCTGAAGATCTCTGAGCCAAGTATGTAAACAGGAGCCCTTCTGGCTGAAGACCACCTGGAGTTATTCCTATGAGGCCACAGCCACAAAGGCCAGTGGCAGTCACAGCATGTGTTTGCAGAAGAGGAGGTTATCTCGGCCCAAGCCTTACCATGAGGGAGCAAGAGTGGAGAGGGAGAGAAAACCTGAACTTGCTTGGAAGCCCCATCACCCAAAGCAGCTGTCGAAGATCTCCGAAAGAAGTTTGAAAAGAGAAGAAGGCTCAGTGCATTGCACCTGCCGGATGGTTTAAGGCCCCGGGACCGGCCCAGGGTTCGCAGTCATCTCGGAGCAAAGACAGAGACCTTGTGCTTTCCGGAAGCTTCGCAGTTCATCCCTCCATGTCAGTGCAGGAAACGGCCGACGTCTCCAAGCGAGGGCTTCCCGGTAAACGTTATCAGATCGTGAGAGCTCTCGATCTGAGAACCAGGGGCACCCCTGAGGTTGATGGTCACGGGGAAGGCCATGACGGAGATCTGGGATCGTCGCTGAGTTGCCCTGGAAGAAGTTGAGGTTCTGGGGCATTTGGATCTGGAGTTCGACGAAAGGAGAGTCGATGTCAAAATCCCTGAGGCTGCTAGGGCGGAGTCCCGAAGTCTGTTCAGATCCCTTCATCTGACTCAGACCACGTCTCAGGTGATCTCAAGGAGCGCGGACGGCTTGCATTGCGGCCTGGGGAGGGCAGAGCACCACAACCCCGTAAGGATGTCAAATCTTGGGATGTCCAGGCTGTTTGCTACGTCCACGCATATTTACCGCCTTTTTCTTTACGCATGGAGGGGGTTACTGATGGTTACTGTCTGTCATGATGTCCGATGTTCGGCATGCAGGGCTGTAGAAATACGGTCGACCAACATCTCGCAATTGCACACATACTCGGTCGGATGCCATTGGACAGTTGTGGGCCTCAGACCTCGGTGCCAGGACACGTTCAAGCGGGTCTCCACAAGCCGCGCAGCTGCGATTTTCCGAAGAAAGTTCGCGCGAGCTCAATCTGAACAGCAGAGTCCTGTATCCGCTTAGCCGAACTTCGAACTTCCGGCTTTGGTCTGCTCCTGCCTCGGGCCTCGCAGCCTCAAGCTACGAAATGCTGCGAGGATGCTAGATCACATCCTAACTTGACAGTCCCTGACTATGGCGAAAAGTATGCAAGGCTGCCGCCAAATACCCCGGAGCAGAAGTCTATTGGCCTAAGTGATCGGGATGACGCTTTGTTGCGAGGCTGTGCTGTGCTGATTGCTTGCCGGGTAAGCCCCTCGCAGAAGGCCATGCAGCAGGGTTTTCAGCGCATGCGGAGAGGCGAGTTTCAAGATCAGGGGTGTTGAGGGTGCGATAAAGCTGTTGATAATTGTCACTGGGTTAATCGTTAATCACCGTGGGATGGCAGGCGGAGCTCGTGCAGTTCATCCGCGATGAGGTAAAGCCCACGCCGGTAACGCTAGCCATTGGAGACGGCGCCAACGACGTGCCCTTGCTGATTGGGGTAATTTGTGGCTTCAGGGCCTCGGATGATTCTGTTGTGCTTCGAAGGGAGCTGCGAAAGCTGGCAGCGCAAGTAAGCAGAAACAGGGGGTTTTTGAAGTTACCCACAGGCATATAAATCAAGGCCGATGATGCGGCGCATTGCAACCTGCCTGGTCGGAGGTGCCGATGATCCAGACGGCGCAGGTTGGCATTGGCATTGCCGGCAAAGAAGGTGGGGCGCGTTTGGCACATGGATGCGCTCGCCGGCTATTGAGTCGTAAAGTATCCAGAACTTGAGCTTCGACTCGATTGCATGGCTTGCGCTGCATGAAACAATCTGAAAACAAACGCAAGGCCTTCAATGACAAGCGTGAGCAGTGAAGAATCCCAAAATCAGGCCGACAGGCAGTGAATAACTCCGACTTTGCGATTGCTCAGTGGCTTGGTCGCTGTGGGCCTAGCGCATTGTCCAGAAAGGCTGCTTTGCCGTGGTGCAGTGGTGCAGTCTTTAAAGAGGATCTTAGTCTCGGAGTGGGGGTTGCCACGTTTGCGCTAAGTGTTGCCTGAGCTGGGTATGTAGCTTGCAAGTGTCGGTCTTGGGGCTCTGGTTGGCAAGTAGGGTTTCAGAGGTGCGGCTGGACTTGATGTTTTTGCGCTGCAGTCGACTGACGTTTTCAACTTCCAGACAAAACTCAGGTTCAGATATCTGGAAAGGTTGGTGCTGCTGCATGGCCGCTGGAACTATCGGCGGGCCTGCATGTTCACTCTTTTTACGCTCCCCGACCTTCTGGTTAGTGCTGATTCCAGGCTGTTCCAAGATCAGCACTTTTCACCTTGTCTTCGGCTTGTGTTATGCAGACTTGCGGATGGAAGAAGGGTCTCAGGGACTGGCCAGGCAAGATCGGAGTCCAATTGAGAAGAGACCCCCAAGACTCGAAAGCCAACAGGCCAAGAAGGACACGTTTGCGTTTGAGCAGATTCGCCTGTGGCATCTTGAGCCGAGGTTCTGGCGGAATATGGTCCAAGTGCTTATGATAGTGCGCCTTGGTCAGTACAGAAAGACTTTGTGGCAAACAGGAAGAAGCAACCAGAAGTCCTCTGATGCGAAAGTCCTGGCAGTGAGGGCTTCGCGGGGGTTCTCTCCTTGAACTCCCAAAGCCCGACACTCACAGAAACTTCGTTCCAGACAACGGATTATCATGGGCCGAGGGCCGAGGTTGAGGCTGTTAGATGACAGCAGCCGGAGACAAGCTCTGTAATCCTTGTAGTCGTCAGCAGATCGGTCATCGCAACCTTCATGTCTTGTTCCCGACGGCATTTTCAGCCGCCACGGAGGTGCTACACCTTTATCTCTGGATTCTCTGGCACCAGTATCTACGAAGACCCTTGGCGATTTTGCAGTTCGGGCGTTTCAGGGCAGCGGGTTGCAGCTCTTGGGGACGGGCGCGCGATGGTGCGCGTACAGATTCACATCTGCTTGCTGTCCTGAAGTTTTTAATTGACACTGGCAAAATGACCAGGACTGGATTCGGCTAACGTTCAATGCCTTGTGCACCATTCCGATTCTGCCTCCGGGTTGCCATGACAAGGCGGGAGAACACGGAGACATTCCATCGCGTTGGGAACATGGTGAGAAGGGAGCTGTGTTTATCCTGCACATATTATATTTCGACTGAGCCAAATCCACGAAGCCAAAGCGGTCGGGAAGTCTTTCCTTCGAGACGGCCGAGACACTCACAAACCCAACCATCATGGTTCCATTCCCTGTGCTAGACAGACTTCGCAAGGAACCCAGCCGGGAGGAACATTCAGGCCAACGGTGAGGGTGCACCCTAAGCTTCCGACATGTCGGAAAGCATCATTCTAACCCGGAGAAAGCTTTCCCAGAGCCTTGCAACGGCCTCGCAAGAACATTCCGCTAAGAGACGAAGTGCAGAAACAGGCCTCAGAGTCAGGATCTGCGGGAGTAGGAGTCGGAACCTCCCGTTTTGGTTTGGTTCCGGGTATTCCGAAGGCAGGATCGGAAGAAGAAAGTCGCTGCTTCGAGAGACTCCCTGAGCAGGATCTGCCCGAGAAGGAGGTGCTGAAACGGCCACACCTCTACCAAGTGGGCCCGCAGTCGGGGGATTTGAATCTTTCTAAGACCGCCGCTTGGACTCAAAGGGGGCGATGGGTTCCAAGTTTGTCTTGATTGCGTTGGAAGCGCCCCCCCCCCCCCTCCCCCCCATCCCGCAATTTAGAGGAGTAGGACATCCACAAGAGAAGATGACTCTGAGCAGACCTTGCATACGCCTAATCGGTAATTTCGCCAGTAGAACGAAGCCAGTCGAGCAAACCGCCTCCCCTCGGGATCCTCATCATGCGGCCTGTCTCGCCTTGTGTTCACCTCCACTCCCTAGGCTTTGACGCTCCTTGTGGCGCTTTTGCACGCCCTCGTGCCGCTTGCTCAGAGAACCCAGAAGCCACCATTCCCGTGTCAGATAGGGGCCGAAGGGCCACATCACTGTTCTTAGATTAGACAGAAAGTGAAGTGCTTTCGTCGCAGAGATGGGACTGGCCTGGTTAAAAACACCATAAGTCGGACCGGAAGGTACATGTGTGTCGATGAAGCAGGTGTGAATCCACAAACTCTAGAAGTCTGAAGGCCTTCACGCCAAGGATCTTCAAAGTATGTGGTTCGATGTATTGAGTCGCATTCCTCGCATGCGTGGCTATGTAGCCATGATGGATGCAGGTGTACGTTTGCATATAGGTTGCATTTGTCTGTCTTTCCGTCTGTCTGTCTGTCCGTCTGTCTGTCTGTCCGTCCGTCCGTCCGTCCGTCCGTCTGTCTGTCTGTCTGTCTGTCTGCTTTAACATAAACCTCTGATTAGTCTTACTGTTAGAAAAGCATATATATATATATATATGGTCGCCCCCCCCCGTTGACAGACCATGCCCTCTCNNGTGGCGATCAGCCCTCACAAACTCAATTCCAAAATTTCCAATATTCTCGCCCCTAACTTTCCGGATTTCCAAAATTTCCAAAATTCTCGCCCCTAACTTTCCGGATTTCCAAAATTTCCAAAATTTTCAAAATTTCCAAAATTTCCAAAAAGTCTGCCCCTATGTTCTGGAAAAATCCTGTCCACTAGGTCGGGCCATTTTGGAAATTTTGGAATTTTTGGAAATTTTGGAAATTTTGGAAATCCGGAAAGTTGGGGCCGAGATTTTTGGAAATTTTGGAACCAGGGCTATACGTATCAAGTGAGATCATTATGTAGTGTATCCGTACCACCCTCGTATATACACCTGTGCTCCATAATACCTTTATTTAGGGGCCACCCGCGCGCCTCATCGTGCC